TCCTCCTCTGAGGTGCTCCCCCAAAGCAAACCCCACGACAAGTGAGAAGTCCATCCTCCTCTGAGGTACTCCCCCACAGCAAGCCCCACGAAGGTTCTGTTCCACTTTGCCTCATCCCCATTCCCACACGGTCCTACCACATGTCACCTAGGGTGAGTTCTGCATGGTGTCTTCTCGATTGAAGGGCTGGGGCTCCTCTATGCTCAGCACACACCTTGTACCTGGAAATCTTTAAAGGTGGCTTTGTGTTTTGCCCCTCTTGACTCCCAAACCTACAGCAGTCGACTTATCATCACAGTGGTTAGGAGGTCAGTGTTGAGTGGCACAGAGCCCCAGAGTCAAGTCTTGAGTCTCTTGGGGAAGTCTCAGGATTTTATCACAGTGTAGCCGAGTATAGTGTGATGCTACAGTGACTATTGATTTTTGTTGGCTCTGCAGCTTCAGATGTTTAAACCCCTTGTGCATGACAGGGAAATGTCAAACAGAGGTTGCATTTTCTCTCTTGGTGTGCATTTGACAATTCCAATGTGCGGGGAGCAGGGAGGGGCTTCTCCAGCTGCCAATCATACTCTGTATGGAGCAAAGCAGAAGCTACATGAAATCAGAAATTCGCTTGAGTCATAGTGTGATAGATACTGCCCTGATGGTCTGTGTGCACATGGAGGAGTCACTTGGTTCCCCATCCCTGTCCCTGTGTGCAGGGAGAAGGCTGGACTGGGTAGCTAGCACCAGGTAGTCTAAGGCACCTAAGTGGCAGTGACCCCTAGGCCTTGTGGAGTGTTCGGTGGGTGAGGTAAGGTGGTGGATATGTTCACACAGAAGATGGGGTGTGGGTGGCAAACTGGGAAGACAGATAAATCTAGCTTGGGGTGGTCGAGGCTGCTGAACATACAGCTTTCTGCACAAGGTGATGCCTGTTGAGTTTCTTCTTCCCTGGGGAAGGCAGCTGGTGCTCACTGCACAGTATGAAAAACAAAATAACCCCCAGACATCACAGTTGATATATTCAAGTGAACTTTGGAGGAAGGGGTTTTTGAGATGATTTTCTTTCTTGAACAGGAAAGAAGAACATTTTAGATCTGGAATGCACTGAAGGGGCAGGACCCTGGAATTGTGAGAAGACAGGTTCATCTGATGCCTCATTGTGAATACTCCGTCTAGGCCACTGGTCTATCCTTTTTAGTCTTTTGAAAATGGATAAATTTATTTTGAATCAAGAAGGTATTGTCTACTTACTGGAAAAAAATCACAAATATTTTTTATCCATAATGCATGACAAACATAAAAATCATTCAAATTGCATATGTCTATTAAAAAGGGCTAACTTCTTGACCACCTTAGATTAAAAATATAGCTGAAGGAAACAGAGTTTTACAGGCTTGAACTTTGTTCTTTCTTTTCTTTTTTATAGTACAAGGGACCAAACCTATTGAACTCCTGATCGAACTATACTATAACTGAACTATACCCCACTCCCCACTGCTGACCTACACTCCACACCCCACCATTGAGCGATACCCTCATTCTACCTAAGCCTTACATTAGTAAAATACTTAGAACTGATATTACAAAAGTAACAGCTGCTTATAAAAAACTTGAAACAGGATAAAATGACAAAGAATTTCAGAGCTGTGAGTCTCCTCTGCAGCCCATCCCTCACTCCTCACAGAAAGGCACACCTTCCTGTGGTTTGTTTGGGTCCTGTCTTTCCAAATCTTCTATACAGATGCAAACTCACCTTGATTTGGTTCATATCATAGTGCTTTATAATCTGCAATTACACTTCGTATGTCTTTGATGTCTTTACATGTTAGCTGAACAGTAGTTCATCATTCAACATCCCTTTAAGGCTGAGTGTGGGATCTCAGCACTGAAGCTGAGGCAGGAGGATGGGAGTTCAAGATCAGCCTGTGTTACATAGTGAGCTGTCTATCTGAGCTACAGCAGAACTTTTTTTTTTTTTCAAGACAGGGTTTCTCTGTGTAGTCCTGGCTGTCCTGGAACTCACTCTGTAGACCAGGCTGGCCTCGAACTCAGAAATCCGCCTGCCTCTGCCTCCCAAGTGCTGGGATTAAAGGTGTGCGCCACCACTGCCCGGCAGCAGAACTTATCTTAAAAAGCTAAAACCAGGGGCTAGACAGATGGCTTAGCAATTAAGAGCATGGTGCTGTGTGTGTGTGTGTGTGTGTGTGTTTGTGTGTTTGTGTGTTTGTGTTTTTGTATGTGTGTGTGTGTGTGTGTGTGAAGGAGAAAGAGAGAGGGGTAACGGGGAGGGAGAGGGGTGGCAGCATACATACTACAGCCTTTGGGGGTGGTCAGAAGGCAACCTGTGGGGATGGACCATCTCTGTCTATATGAGGATCCAGTATATTGACCACAAGTCTTCAGGCTTGAAGGCAATCTCTTTATCTGCTGAGCCAACTCACTGGCCCTTCTGATAGGATATTTATTTGGATTATTTTGAGAAAGGGTTTGTCTGTGGAGCCCTGGCTGTCCTGATACTCACTCTGTAGACCAGGCTGGCCTCAGACTTAGAGATCCACCTGACTCTGCCTCCTTGAGTGCCGGGATTAAAGGCGTGCTCTACCACCACCCAGCTATGATAGTTAATATACCTAAATGCATCTACAGTTTCAGTCATACTGATAAAGGTATAGGGTGGCACCTGTTTTGTTTCCATAAATAAGTCATTATCGGCCTGTGTCATGTGGGTGGAGCCGGACAGATGGTGTCTTTCTGTATCCTCCCAGGTGTACAGTCCATCCTAAAGTAGAGCCAGGGCTACTTATTCAAATGGAGTCTCCCAGGGTGAGCCTGAGGAAAGTTTTATGCCGTTTTTTTTTTATGCTGCACAGAGTGACTTAACAACGGGACACAGCCTGAGCTCAACACACGATATTTTTGTGTGATTGTCAGAAAATGTCTGGGCGTGATGAGACCTGCCTGTCCTGAGGTCATATATATTCTGGCCTGAAGCCTAGGTTATTGCTGCTTTAGTATGCACACCATAAAGTAGTTCCACAGAACTATTGACTCTGTGTACTACACAGTGCAAGTTAATATTGCTGTTGTCTTGGGAGGGCTTCAACCTGATTCCAGAGTGAAGGGCTCCTTTGTTCCCCTATCCCTATACATTTCCCCATCTTTCTATCCTGTCTCAGTGTCTTAGGTAAGGATACTATTGCTGTGATGAAACACCATGACCAAAGCAAGTCGAGAGTAAAAGGTTTGTTTGGCTTACTATCATCATCAAAGGAAATCAGGACAGGAATTCAAGCAGGAGAGAGACCTGGAGGCAGGAGCAGATACAGAAACCATGGAAGAAGGCTGCTTGATGGCTTGGACCTCATGGCTTGCTCAGTCTACTTTCTTATAGAACCCAGGATCATTAGGGGTAGCCCCACTCATAGTGGACTGGGCTCTCCCCCATCAATCACTAAGAAAATGCTCTACAGCCTCATCTTAGGGGGACATTTTCTTTTCTTTTTGTTTTTGTTGTTTTGTTCTGAGATAGGGTTTTTCTGTGTAGCCCTGGCTGTCCTGTAGGCAAAACTGACCTTGAACTCCTAGAGTGCTAGAAATGAAGGCACATGCCACCATTGCCTGGGAAAGATTTATTTATTTTTGTGTGCGTTAGTGTTTTGCTTACTTGTATGTCTGTGTGAGGGTGCCAGAGGCCCTGGAACTGGAGTTACAGACAGTTGAGCTGCCATGTAGGTACTGGGAATTGAATCCAGGTCTTCTGGGAGAGCAGCCAGGGTTCTTAACTGTTGAGCCATCTCTCCAGCCCTAGAGGCATTTTCTGAATTGAGATTTCCTCCCTCCTCTAAGATGACTTTCCGCTTGTGCCAAATCGACATAAACCTATCCAGTACACTTAGCTTTTCTAACTTTTACTTTTATTTATGTGTATGTTTCTCTGTGTGCCTGAGGAGGCCAGAAGAGTGCACCAGATACTCTGGAAGTGAAGTTACAGGCTGTGGGTGAGCTGCCTTGGGTGGGTGCTGAGGACTGAACTTAGGTCCTCTGGAAGAGCAGCACACATTCTTAACTGCTGAGCCGTCTCTTTAGCACCACATGTGTCTTTTTGGTTGAAATCTTGAGCTTGGGTAGCAGAGCCTGGCTTGTCGAGGCTGTCCGGCTCAGGCTTGATTGAACTCTATAAGCAAAAAACTCTGGAGGACAACCTAAGAAAGGGCAAAGTATCTCTGTATAGACGCAGAGAGGGAGTGAGCCCCAAGATGTGTGTGGTTAGCTGGAAGAGGGTTCCTTAGGGAGAGAAAAGGTAGACACCTAATGACTAGTAGCATAAAGGGTGCCCAGAAGTGCTGCTGCCGTGCACAGCCGTGCCAGCTTTATCACCCTCCTTATCTTACCTCGCTTATCTTGACCTGCCTTAGCTTTCTAGGTGTGGGGCTGTTCCTGGGGCTCACTGAATTCTTCAGCTGTTGACAGACAGGAGGTTTATGGGTCTGGTGTCAAGGAAATCACTGATAAATGAAGTTTTAGACAGGCCCTACCCTCTGTTGGCTCCCGTGGCCTTTGATATCTACTCCTGTAACAGGAAACCAGACTTCATGAGGACAACAGAGTACGAAGCTCTACAGAAAACATAGTCACATTCCTGGAACATTTTAAAAGTCTTCTCTGGAAAGAATGCTCTTTAGGAAGAGGACCAGGGGAATGTGCCTGAGGATTTGCCAGTGAAGCCCACATGCCTGGAACCCAGCCAGCTCAGAAAAAGCCATTCACTAGTTAAAATGCAGTTGCCTAGTATGGAACTTGCATGTTTTGTTGGATTTTTGCTTGCTATTTTATTATTTTATTTGATGTGCATGGATATTTTGTCTGCATGTATACCTGTGCACCATGTGTGAGTAGTGCCCATGAGGCCAGAAGAAGGTGTTGGATCCTCTGGAACTGGATTACAGATGGTTGTTCCCCTGAAGGTGATGGGTCCTCTGCAAAAGCAGCCAGTGCTCGTAACTGATCAATTAGCTCTTCAGTCCCTTCACTTATTAGTTAAGAAAAGTGTGTGTGTGTGTGTGCCTGCACGCGTGCGTGCGTCTGTCTGTCTGTCTGTCTGTCTGTCTGTCTGTCTGTGTTGGGTAATATGTACAAGAGTGTGTGTACTTTTAGAGGCCAGAAGAGGGCATTGCATGTCCTGAAGCTGGAGTTAGAGGCATTTGTGATGTACCTGATGTGGTTCTGAGGGCCCAAGCAGGGTCATCCGTAAGAGCAGGGGATACTCTTACCAACTGAACCATTCTCTAGCCCCTTACTGTTTTTTTTTGTTTGTTTGTTTTTGTTTTGTTTTTTGAATGTGTTGGATGTCTGCACAATTACATTCACGTGACTGCAGACCCCGGAAACTGCTGCTGTCATTGAAGCAGAACATACTAATGTTCTTGGTATTTTAACATACACAGATACACTGTGTGTGTGTGTGTACATGTGCATACATGTATATAATTTGAAGTTTCAGAAATTTAGTTGAGTTGTCAAATTTGGTAAAAAAAAAAAAGTCTCCCATCTTACTGTGTTGAGTTGCATTACAGTGAAATTAACAGCTGTCATGGTCTAGACATGTTAAACTTACTCCCTCCCCCCACTTGTACAGGGCTAATTCAAGGCACTAAATATTCAAGCTCTTGTCTATGTGAGTTTGACTCCAGAAGCTAATATTCTGTTCTCTAAATAATGAAACACCCCCGCCCCAAGAAAAAACCAAAATAAAAAAACAAACCCAAAACACCCCTGCCGCTCTCTGGAAGACTCATGGGCTGTGCAAAGTCTGTGTTGTGTAGGATATGCTTTTTCAGGTTTGAACATCAAATGCCCATGATACAGTGAAAACAGAAGATGGCCTATTTGCTACCCAATTCTTAAACAGGATTCAGAGATTGCAGCCTAATGAAGGGATTGAAATTTCCACAGGAGGAGGAGAGGGAGAAGCCTGGTGCTAGCCAGAGTGGGAGCTTGTCTCCTAGGAAAATCCCACACAGTTCCGTCAACTTGTCAGGCCACCTTGCAAGAGACTGGAGCTGAGGGGATGACAGTCAGGACCACACCATGACCAGGGCTGCTTAGCAATGCAGACTTCTGGCCCTCTAAACCTAAATGTTGTGTTAGGACCCCAAAGATTGACTTGGGGATCCCTGGATTTTCTTATTCGTTCCTCTTCCTGGTGTGAGCACATTAAGTGTCTTTTCTCTGTTCTGTACTATGAGGATTGGTAGCAACTTGCCTTGTTAGAACTGCCAGGCTCTGTCCTAACACTTATGGCCACGGCACAGCCCTCTCAGTTGGAAGCAGACATGAACAGAGGCCCCATACGCTTGCCTGCATCCATCTGGTGTCTCTTTTCA